TTTTCTCTGTAAAAAGTGTTGCTTCTTTGATGATGTTGGAGTTCTAGCACAATTTTAAAAGTTTCCATTGCTTGGTCATTTGTCAAATACTGTATTCTCTACGACATATGCACAGAATCAGGGCCAACATTTTCTTCACCAAGATTATATCCCAAACTGGGTTCATGAAAATGACATTTTCATAACATGGCGTGTATGGAGAAACTGCTAGGACCAAGAGAACAAAGATCGCTTTAAGAAGATTTGTTCTAAAGGAAAGTTCCTGTACTGTAATAATTGTTTCGACTAATACTAAATTAAATTTAGATTCTTTGAATTTTCGGAGGAAAAAAAGACTTCGATCAACTGATTTTCATCATGTGATTTTCAATCATATGATAAGCCTTCAATCACATGATAATTATAGCCGTGTCAGCGCTGTAAATATTTTAGCCCATGCCACCATTTGTATCGCCGGAGAAATTCAATAAACGAGGGACCAAACATGATCCTGCATAACAATCTACAAGGAAGTCAATCACCAAGCTCTTTTCCTGATCAGTGAGTCACCCCGACATGTTAAAAATTGCTATTCGAGTCAGGAAAGGATACTGTACAGTATATAATTCATAAAAACGAATTTTAATTTGACAGAATACTCGAGCCTCGAACGAAACGACAATCATCGTGATTGGAAAATTACCAGGAAAGAATTTGAATCGACTGGCGTTTAAGCTTGAAGCGATATTTTATGTTCGGAAGGTCAAAAGGTTTAGAACAGGAACGAAACTATGACCAGTAAGTATATTCTTATTTACCTGAACGGTTTTTGCATTGAATTCAATTTTAAGAAGTGTTTCGGGGTCAAATAAAGCTGCGAACCTCTAATATAACTGGAAATATTGTACAAGAGTTTCTTCCTACTTGAACAATGAATCCAAGATTTTCTTGATCATTACATAGTTGTCTTCAAAATTTTTACCACTTTGAACAAGAAAAATTTTCAAAGGTTGACTGCGTTTAACTACGTTAAATTTTCTCAAAAGCTAACTAGATTAATTTTGATTAGTTCAAGTTCAATGGAAACTTCTTTCAATCGGGTTTCATTTTGGGTGAAGCCCTCTTGATCCAGAGAAATGACCTCTCAAGGTCTCAGTACTATACCTTGAAACCCCGAAAAGTAATTCCTTCGTCACACAATGAAATGAACGAACATGAAACCTGTCCAGTGCTTTACCGAAGCTCAAATTAAATAACGGATGAAACCTTGCGTTTCTCATCATCACTGGAATAAAAGTAAATAAAAATCTTGAATCAATAATACTGCATCGAAGAGAATCATCCTAAAAAATTAATTTATCCTTGAAGATGAGATAAACGCGTCAATTTGAATCACAAACCTTCGTCGTAAAACAATCTTTACAGTTTTTTTCCTCAAAATCTAGGATGAAACTTGAACCCATTTTATCTTATCTTGAACCCCTTTCAATGCTTCATCCTTGCTGAATTTAATCTACGTGGCTTAACAATCATCCATGACCTCTAGATACGAATAGAATCAAAAACATAAATCAATCCGTAACATCAGATTGATTCATTTTCCGGGAAAAAAGCGCATCTATCTTTATGAAAAAAAGATCAAAAAGGTCACGGTACGTCATACTTGACGCACGCATTTTCAAAAAAATTACCTGCTTCTTATCCAACAATTGTCTGCATTATTGAAGGAAAATGCCTCTCGGGGTCATTTCTTCCGCATTGTAATTTGAACCACAGAACAATGAATCCGAAGTTCTTCGCTTTTCTCAAAACAAATTGATACCTCAATCGTAATTCAAATCGATGTCTGAACGGTCGAAATGTGCAAACCAATTCTGAATCACTACCAATGTTTGGATTAAAACTACAGTTGAACCTTCAAGTAACTCAGAGGCCCGCAAAAAATTTGAGTTAGGGAAACGCATTTATGTTGGGGAGAAATGAAGAATTTCAGGATATTATAATCGGGGATATTCTAGGCCTTAAATTGCTTCTTGAATGAGTTCACGGGATGCTAAACTTCGAGGCAAGGGTTTAATTACCCAATTGATCTTCAAATACAGTATCTTTCAAAAAACAGTTACATTTTTGTTGCTTTTTCTTCTTTCCTGTGCCAATAAAATAATATCCAAAAGGCCTCCAGAAAATTCGAGTCATGGAAGTAAAGCCTTCGCGTTAGGGAGGTTGTAAATGCATTGGTTCAACGGAATTCAAGGAGAGACTTGAAGAAAATCCGCCTTAGGGAGATTCGAGTTATTGAGGTTCAACTCCATCTATAGCATTCAAAACGTGAAAAATTCACGATTTCAATTCGTGTCATACGACTTTCTTTTCGCAACGAGGGGGAAAAAATTCAATATTCCCGCGATTCATCGCAGAGATAACCTTCCGTGGATAAATGGTGATGGATAAGTCATCACGTCACAACGTTCCTTCGAGGGAAGCACGTTCTTCCTCTTCTTGCGCATTGAAACCACGAACAGTGATGCAACACGAGAATCGGGAGATGCCACCGTGACCTGGTTTGAAGGACAGCGGCACACACAAAGCTCTAACGACGCACATAAATTTGAATTTCCCGCAAAAATAATTTAATGATGGCTACTCGGGAATAGAAATGGGATTCCTGGTGAACTTGAAACTGAAGGAGAACCACGCCGTCAAAAGTAACCCATTCGAATCGAACTAAAAATAATAATAAAAATAAAATAAAAAAAGACGTTACGTTTGGTGTGCGTTACAAGAATGTGTACAGTATTTCATTTCAATATTTACGCGAGTATAAACACTCCCTAGATTATTCACGTAAAGACTGAAATTCCATTAATAGACAACGAAAAGCACCCGATTATTATCCTGGCTGTCCTAACTTTACAGGAACTCAAGATTTCAGAATGAATTCAAGTTTTCCCCAAGAAAAAGAAAAATGGAATCACAAAACTATTGCCCTTTCTGTTCAGGCAATGACTCCTTCATTTTGAGGTACTAAAAGCTGACCATGTTGTGATTAATTTCAACTTCAGTTCAAAAAATAACTGAAGCATTAAAGTGCTCGATCGTTTTGAGGGCGGCAAACAGGAATATTTCCTGAAATATACTCTTATTTACGCGAATGGCATAACATGCAAATATAAGCACTCCACTAGTTTTCGAACTTCTACAATTGAAAAAATCTGATTAAATTTTGCATAAATAAGGTGAACAATTAAGTATGTTCAAAAGTGATGCGGGCAACTAAAAGAAAACTGCAACACATTTTCAATACAGTACTAAATTGCACGTTTTTCGTAAAGTAAAAATTGATAAAGCGTTCTTCGCACTTTCGAGAAGTACTGCGCAGTACTAAATAGCTGACGCAGTCAATCACGCATCCCAAGCCCCATCTCAAGAGACGCATCACGAGTTATTCAAAAAAAATATGAGGAAATGGTACCGGGAAAATGTAGAATTCGCGATTTGTGCGCATAATGCACACGGAAAATCGTTATATCTAATCTCATACACGCAGAATTTGAACGAAGCCCAACCAATTGATCATTTTGGAGGACGCAACATAAAACTAGAAGTCCGTAAATAAGAATTGAGATCGTTTCTCAACTTGAAAGTTGAATGCTTGAAGTATTTGCAGATTTCCTCTCGACGCTTAGTTAATTCGATGTTTACAGTAAAGGCAACAAAAAAGTATACGGCGACGACTGACCTCACTAAACACACCTTCAAAAGAGAATGTTCCCGACAATAATAAAAGCAGATCGAGTAAAAATTTTACCAACTTGAAACAAGGAGGATCCCGGTCCTACAGAGGGGACTCAAACGGTGACGCAACACCACAAGGCATGGAGAAGATGCGAGGGTCTTCGAACAAGGCTGAGGGATTGCTTCTCAACATTCTAATGACCCATCACACCTTTTCTTTTTCAACTGTCGCTAGGGTCGAGGTCACAATGACATCGTACAGTGAACTGCGCGGAGAAAGTGAAGTTGAGGGAAACTCGCGGCAACGCTTCCGGGTCACGATTTAAAAACAGATCACGATCAAGCACAGAACGTGACTTTCCTGTGCTTGTTGAAGCTTCGCCATTCTTCAGCAAACACAAGGTTCGCATCGTTTCACGAATGCAAGCATATTCCCTGATTTTTAATCACGGCTTCGGAAAAATCTACCCAAATTTAAGAATTCAAGCTCACACAAACCGAAGGCTGAAAATATACCAGGGCGCAGGGCATACAAATTTAAGAGAAAAGACTGGAATTTCCATAATCCCTCATGATTTCAAAGATCAATGTTTTTGCGTACACGATTGATCGCATACTACAAGGAACAGCCTTTTCGAATCATTCGTTACGTAAATAACTGAGCATTTGCGGAGCTCTGCAAATAAAATTTTCAATTCGATTACACTGGGCTTATACGGTATTTGCTGGCGGTGATCTTGATTAACTCAATTTCTCCCATTCCACGAGGACTTCCAACTTCCATCAGCAGTTATACATAAGTGTTAAATGTAGTGAAGTTTTTAACTACCACTTTCCCTGTAATCGCAAAATCGCATGGTCCGTCATTTTCCACATACACAAATCACACAAAAAATTATCGAATATCGTCATGGACTCGTAGACACGAATTACAGAAGAGCCGTACAGTTGAATACCGATGATTACATGAAAAGCGAAAGTATACTCACCCAGAGAAACGCTACTACTGTAATCTAAATGTTCCACATCATAAAACAGAAATTCTCACTTCTCACAGCCGAAAAATGCACAAATTCCACTAGTCCGATAGAAGACGAACCAAGGCCGAACATTGAAAATACACGATACGAACCTGTAGAGAGAATGGGACAATCAAGATAATTCAAGTCTTCCGATGAAAACTGTCCACAAAAACAGAATTTCCCAGATTTACCTGCATTCACCATCGCACATCTCATCAAAACTTGACACTGTTATACGCTTCAAAATAAAATACAGGAAGTTGTTCAAGCGATCTCGGTTTGCAATGCACTAGCATGGAATTTAAGATGCTCCCCGATGAAGCTTGCAATAAAATAATAAGAATGATCATATCCACCGTGGAATCTGAACTTCGCATCAAAAGCATCGCTATTCCCATCCACCGCATTTTTCAAATTTTCAGGAAGCAATTGGCAGTCTTGGTAAAATTTGTCAGCGGTTCCGGTGTCGACGAGGAGTTTGATCTTTTCGCCAGAATAACCCCTCGTCAGTGCAGTCGCATCATAATCTTTCCACGATTCTTTGTTGGCCCCAAGGTACCCCGAAAATGCTTTGACGCCCCAAGGACACTCCGATGGATTACAAATTGGAGCAAATGCAGAAACTGATTTGTAATGACCGGGATTCTTCAAAGCGCAGATAAGAGCACCGTGGCCCCCCATACTGTGACCGAATATCGACCTGTGAATAATTAAAATAAAATTCCCGCAATCAGGAAAGCCTTGTGTTCGATGAATGCAAAACTTCGGGAAAAAATCTGTAACTCGATGCTTAAAAGACTAAGCCATTTCATAAATTTCTTCGATTCAAAATCACTTATACAATGCCAGAAACCGAACAGCTTCTAAACATTTCAAACTAAACCATAAAAATTACAAAAAATTGTGCGTAGGACTAACCTAGCAGATGAGCTAGCAGGAAAGTTTTTCTCAATAATTGCAGGTAACTCTTTCGTGACATAAGAGTACATGCGATAGTTTGATGCCCATAGTGGTTCTGTCGCATCCACATAAAATCCTGCGCCAGTTCCGAAGTCCCAAGAATCATTCTCGCCTGATACTCCAACGTTACCTACAAAATGGGGAGCCATACAGGGGGAAAAGTGGATCGAAAATTCAAATCTCAAAATTACGAGGACTCGTGTCTGGACCAATGATGATCAGCCCGAGTTCGGCAGCGTATTTTTGGACCCCAGACTTATGGATGAAGTTCTCCTCGGTACACGTAAGACCCGACAGGTAGTAAACCACCGGTAATTTTCCATCCTACTGACGAGGAAATCGTTATGCCATGTTCGTCTCAATTAAGTCTGACCAATTTCGATTGCAACAAAAACCATGGACTTTCACCTGAAAATTCTCTTCGAATACTTTCGGTGGAAGATACACGGAGAACCGCATTCGACACTTCGTCTCGACACTGTAAAATAAAAATAAGTTTATCCTCCATCCTGACATACCACGAGAGGTGACTAACCTGTCATGACTGAAAACTTTCTGCAAACCCCCGAAACATTTCGCCGAAGATTCTTCGTTTAGAGACATACTATGAAGTCCTGTTCGGCTTTCGAAATAAAACGGTGAGAATTGAGACAAATATACATTATGAACAAGTATTCACTTCGAAAGGAAACGTGCGAATGTCTCGCACAACGGACAAATTCCGTAGTGAAATCCACACAGATCTCTTTCGACCCCAACCCTTCGAGGATAGGTCATGAACGGTATAAATCGGTAACCTATACTGTATTACACTACAGTAACTATTTCCGATAAGCTCGAGAGTGAAAGGAATATTAACCAACACCGTGCAGAACTTCAACTTGGCCACACTGCGCAATATTGTTGATTCGAAAGTGACCTTACCACATGTCTCTTTTTTTCGAAACATTCGAGACCCATGACAATCAACGAAGTTCGCAAGGAGCTGCCCATGAAGGCCGCCATACTGCTACGTGCTCTATCGAGCATTCTACATCAGCGAACCGGAAAATAGAAGCAACAGCCTCCACTTCAGGACATTATTTCATCAGCTGTTGAAAATATCAGGGATTTCTAGCTTCTTTTTCCTGATGTTAAATGAGTCCGATTATCTTCAATGAGCATCGTGATTGTTGATTGACAATCGATTATTGCCGGAATCCTAGCCTGTTCATATGTAAATGGCGGGAAGAGATTTAGTTCTCTCTTGATAAAAGGAAGGGAGCGCTTCAAACGTCCACGTTTTACGAACGGTTTATTTCAGGAAAATAGAAACTCACACGTTGTCAAACACTCTTAAAAATAATCGCCGTTAAAATGGCCCCGATCATCGTACAAAACACGCGAAAACGCTCTCACAGAACGGAAGCATTTCAGATCATCAACCAACGAAATCACGCACAGCACACACGCGAGAGCATATTCTGTTCGAACGGTTTCCCTGAGGATACTATCGTGGAAGAGCTTAAATCTATATTAAGGGAGAACAGGAATCTGCTCCACAGGAAGACGAACATCGGTTTCATACCATCCACATGCGATTGCTGTCCTTGGGGGACTGAGAAGAATTCAAAGTTAGACGCATTCGAATTCAAACGTATGATGCTTGAAAACCTACTGGTCCGTCGTCAGACTTAGGTTTTGAGTTGCTTTGAATTTCCTTATTAGGTGATGTTCTTTGTCTTTCTAGTCGACTTGAATTTTTGTCAAGTGAATTTGGACTTCCAGCAATCGGTGTTGAGAGTACACTTCCAGAACTGCGAAACAATTCAACTTTCTTCGGCGAACTTCCGTTTGAAATAAAAGAAACTTCTCCAAGATCCGCGGATTTCCGAGTAATCTCGTTGGGCTTGTTTGCTGAACCAAAGCCTTTCTTCATCAGCAGCATATCTAGAATTAGGCAGAATAATAACATCAAATAAAACGCAGTCATGTTAATCTCATCCGTGATGTTGCACAACTACAGGGTAGGGAAATGGAAAAAGGAAAATATTGTATTCATGCTACTGTATGTATATAGAGATTCAGGAATTATTAGGCAATTTTTTCTTTTGTTCCACTACTGTGCACCATGGAAAACCTGCCTTTTCCCTCTCTTTTTTTTTAAGTTTGATCAGACCTCAAGGTTACCAAACGGCTTTCTTTCATTCATTCTTCAGATAAGCTCCTGGAATCCGACAAAAAAGGATTCCAACGATTCCTTCGTGTCTTAAAATTATAGAAAATAATCAGTTGAGGGAGTATCTCCTATTCTCTTCAGGGAATTCCCCAAGAATTATTTTCATTTCATCCGAAAGCTATAAAAAGAACAATTTTTGGAGGGGCATCAGTCTGAATTTGACCAGTGTCATGACCAGTAGGATCTTATTTATTTTGACGGCTTTGCGCTTAGTTGTCCTTTTACTCGAAAGCTGAGGCGATTTCTTGATGCATTCTCTTCGATTCAATCCTTCAAATCTCTTGTACAGTAGAAAGTGTCAGTTTAACAACGCGAATTAAGGGGACCTTGCACTGGACTTCAAAAAGCCTCATCAATTCAACTGGTGAGTGTTTTTTAAACGCTCCCTAAGAAAAGCGAAGTCTGATCAGAAAATCACACTTATTCACTTTTAGACACTGAATAGATTAAATGAGCATTCGAGCCAGGCGTGCATTGCGAATATTGTCCCCAACATAGTAAGCCTAATAACTTTCGATTATTTATACAGTATTTAGTTGTTTTACATAACAGATAAAAAAATGTATCGGCGAAACACGGTACGAAGATTTTACGGTTCGTTCCCTCATAGCCGTACAAGGATATTTTGCATGGAATACAAAGTTTGTCCCAAGCCAATGTGCACAGAAATTTTAAAATTCCGGATATTGGGAGCAATTCCCATCAACTGAGGTCAGATAAGAGCATAATTTTGGTAGAATATCCTCGCATTTCTGCAAATGGCAGCAAATTCAAAAGCAAATATACTTCACTGTGCATCGAATATGGTATTTGGATACTCAAAAAAAATGTACTGTATACTGTTGATTATTGGTTCAACAGCTAGTCTTCTCCTGTGCAAACATGTGAAAAAAGTCGTCAAACTTTTGCACTTCAGGATTTGATTTTCATATCATCTTTTTGAATTTGAAGCTAACGCGCTTCTGTGTGGCGTGAACCGCGTCACGCCATTTCCCTCGAACAGAAGCTATGCACAGCTAACTTCTTTCATCATTCACGTCACATGCCCACTGTTCTAAATCTCCATCTTTTCCTCCCAGCTTCGGTTGCACCAGTAACTTTTACCAAGGAAAACTCCCCTTTCACACTAGTTGCGATGTACACATTTTCAGGAATATTCCAGCACCATCATGAAAGTTTCTCAAGGAATACTGTTGAGGAATCGTACCACAACCAAAAATAAGCTTGTGGCTCGATCGAAGGACGAGAAAAAAGTCTTCGCATCTTAAAAAATCAAGTGAATCGAAAATTAATGAAAAAAGACTCACTTATAGCATCCGATGACCCACGGTGGCCATGAAAAGCTGGATTATGACGCGGTGGAGTCACCATACTCTGAGTTTGAGAATGAGCTCTAACATGGGATGGTTCGGCTTGTTTTTCATTCGCTATACTTTGTTCGAGCTTTTTCTGGGCTTCGACCGACCTGAAAAGTTGGAGAGGTCAAACATGAAAATAAATTGTAAAGCTGAATTGTGAAATAAATAAATAACCTTGACAATGCGTTCAAATCGAAAATTCGAAATAAAGAAAAATGCTGCGAAATAACGCAACGAATTCCTAGAAAAGCATTGAAAAATACATAGGTTACTTACGAAGCGCAGTTAGCTCGAATTTCTTCCAAGAACTTCTGTTCCCACATTTTAACTTCCGCTTCCAGGAGAGTTATTCGATTTTTGGCACGGCGCAATTCAGCATCAACCGGATTGTCGATCAAGTCTTCGGGGGTTAGAGGCTCCTTTTGTTTCAATGCCAGAGCTTCCCGAAGCTCGGTTACTTCAGATTTCAATTCCTGCGAGGACGGAAGTTAATGAAGAAATTAAATCGGCCATGAATGTTATTTATTCCAAGTCATCTCTACCTGATTTTCTCTTTCCTGCTGCTGTCGAAGTTTCGAGTTCATTTGTTCCCGCTTTTCAGAAGCGCTCTGTAGGGATGACAGCGCTCGCTGCAATTGAGCAACTTTCTCCGCATAACTTTGACGTTTATGGCACTGAGTTAGAACAAGGAAATTAAAATTTAACCCAATTAGCGTCCACGATCTCTGGGTTATAGCAATTTACCTCTTCTTCAAGCCTAACAACATTTGCTTGCGCATTCGTGAGGGCCGAGTCCAGTATATCAATGTGTTGTCTTTGTTCTTGGAGAGTGTCTCGCTGAGCAGCCAATTCGACTTCTTGACGCTCCTTTGTGGCCCTAAGATCACGATCTACACAGAAAGAAAAAATATATATTCATTTCTAACACCTAACCTTTTCAGTCCGACCTCAAAAACCTCCATAACTCATAGGCTTCCCCTCAAACCTCTAAAACTCTTATTTTTCGAGGCCTTTTGACCATCATTTTATTTATAATAAACAGAAAAGAGAAGAGGAAAGAGACACAGGAAAGAGATAAGCAAAAAAAATGATATTTCATGTGCTTTGAAACGAAATGAAAAACGAATTGGGCTAATCAACTCTTGCCTTCCTCTTCATCATCCTGTCAACTCATTCATGAGGCAATTCAGGTGCAGAATATCACGATATCCTGAAATTCTTTTCCACAACAAAAATGCCTGTTTCCCTGACTCAAAACCGCACTAAAAATCATTTTCTTGCTGAACCCACGAAGTTCGACGTGAAGAGGTTCGACTGTTATTGCAAATTTATCACAACACAGCAACATTCCAGTCAGCCTCCATCATTAAATCTTTACTAGCCATGAATTTAGCGATTTCTGTAGGATCTTATGTATAGTGCGCGGAAGAGTATAAGATGCCTTACTTTGAGCGATTATCTGAGCTATGACTGAGCCAGCTGGGTTAGCGCCTTCCCTTCGATTGAGTTCCACCAAGGCAACGTCCAACTGTTGACTCAACAATCGATGTACGCCTTGCAATCTCCGAACTTCAGCCTGCAACTTTTGCCGAGCAGTCTTCTCTAAATTTTCCCTACGATCTGAGGACTCCACCAAAGCTTCATGGGCAGTATGGACCTTCGCCAATTCTTCTTCGAATTTTTGCAACCGGGCGACTTTCTTGTGGTAGGCCTCAAGTTCCGCGCGAAGAGCCGTGTTCTCTTGGCATAAAATATCGAGAATTTCTTTCGAATCAGAAGTAGCAGCATCTGAGGAAATTTCTGCAGTTTTCCCTGGGGTAGGAACCTTGGTCAAATCGGGTTGCGAGCGCGACAGGGCGGCCGAGAATGGCGGTGGAGGAGGTACAACTGCACTTGCAGTCTTGGAAGGGTAGGCAGGAGGAGGAGGAAGCAATCCAGATCCATGAATGCTTCTGTCTTCTGGCAAATTATGCAATTGCTGGGAACTTCCGGGATTCGACGTCGTGCTGCCACCAATCAATGGCCCGCGAACTTCCTTCGCTAAATGTTTCAATACTTCAGATTTATCCAAATAATGCGACGGGATTTCGTTGATTTCCTGAGCACTGGCAGCAAGGGCCTCCGAAACGTTACTATACAATGGCTGAGTAACTACAGAGCAATACGGTGGTGGCTGACGAAACCCGCACGCTCCGAAATCACCAAGAAACTTTTCATCCAAAGTGCTGTCGCTGTGGACAATCATGGTGTTGCATGAGGAAGAATCATAACTGCGACCACAGGCCGAAGACGCAGCTGACACATGGCTAATTTGAGCCCCATGTCGGGTCACGTGACGTAAATGGTTGAAGGACTGATGGATGTTTTCTTCTCCGGGAGGGTCCTGTCGTTGCGTGTGACGTAGGAAATACTGTTCGTCGGGAGTAAGATTTTCAGTTGACGTTGAAACATCAGTTTCACTGCCGGAGAAGCTCTGCTGAAAGTTTGCGCTCCCTGAATCGACATGATTTAACGAAATGAGCATTCAGTAACATTGGCACGAGAATCAATGAAAAAACCACTCTCTAATACTGTACGGAAGATTAGGTACAAGAGAAGAAAACGAAGACTCAAGCTCGCTCTCCAGCATAAATCATTCACTTTTTTCAAACAAGTATACTGTAGAGTACAGTACTTATTTCAGCAAGTAATAATCGCTGACATACAGTAGTCAAGCTTCCTATGTTCAGCTCGTCCATATCATCCAAAAGCTCAAGCCACGTGATATACAACAGTACGTGAATACCATGACTAATGAACGTAGAATACTGAAACTGCAATATTTCAGACTCACTCATACTGGCTTCCAAAGGTGGGCGTAGAACTCGGCGAAATTCCGCCGGAACAGAAACCATTCCAGCTACAGCATCATATTCAACATACCCTTGAGGGTATGTCCGCGTTGGATTGTTCTGTTGATGACCCATCTCGCGATGGATATATTCACGTCACAGCACAAAGAAGACCCATTTCCTTAAACGAATACGGCGACGCACTACGGCGAAACACGAAATCTCACCTAGCCTATCACAAAATAAACTTCCTGTGAAGACAAGAAAACGTTGAAAAATCGTTTCGAAGTACGAATAAGGGGAGACTTCGCATGCTCGACCGGAATTAGTGTACACGTTCAGAAGACATGAAACACGCGGGAATCTTCACCAGACGCCTCTAGTTACAACTCCAACACTACAAGCTACTCGTAGTTTTATTTACACTTTCGCAACAAACTTTACTTCACTGCAGACAGATTGATTGCACGCTTCACTCCTTTAGACTCGCTGCTCAACGATACGGACGCCATATGCCGAACTTTTCCCCGAAAGTCTCGCGCTCTGAATAAATCACAAGTATGAAGAATTTGACTTTGAATCGCCCTATGTAATGCACTCACTGGGAACAGGGAACAGTTCAGGATGCAACTGAATATAGTGACGCGCAGCCGCATCTTTCAAAGAGTACCGGTGTTGACTGTACCTATCCGCACCCTCACCAACGCCCCAACCAATTGCCGCGTAAATGGGATACCTTTGAATGCCTGAAGAAAAAACAATTAATTTTTTCTATGCAGTGAGGTAGTAGAACCAAGCTTACCTGAGACTAGTGGACGTCTAGAAAACATTGCCATAGCTGCAGCATAGACCAATCCCATCACTACTCCAGCCCCTTGATAAAAATACTTGTTCAAAAGCAAGTCGGGCTCCCAGTTTTCCCCGATATCCGTGAAAAGAGTATCTCGGCGTTCGGGGTACCATTTCGAAGGTCGATACACAGGGCGCTCATCTGACATTCTGTCACTCAAGTAATTTTCTGCAAATCACGGTTACGCGAATAAAGGCAGATTCACAGATGAATTAGAAGTACCAATCGCGTTATTTCTGCCTCAATCCGTTAGGCATCCGACAACCGCGCATTCAGTGCACATGGCAACTACGCTCTTGAACAGGACAAGTACTCGCTGGGTGGAACCATAATCCTATGAATTACGGAACGACTGCCAGCCTCTTTCGCGCCTGGAGTTACACAAATACATGAATGAGAACCCTCTTGTACACAAATTGAAACAATGAACTCGATTTCAATCATAGTGAGTCTGACAAACGCTTAACAGAAGAACTGTATTTCTGGGTTGGATACACACACGAGTCGTATTATGGAGGGTTAAATGAACTTCATGAACCTCTGCTGCTGTTGAATGGAAAATCTAATTTATTCTTTTATTTCTTCGTGACAGTTTTCCAAAAAAATCATGAAAGATTTCTGAAGAGATTTTTTCATTATCAGGAAATGAAATGTCCTGTTTCGGGCTGTTCATCTGCTGCACCTGTATGCATTCAGTGTATGATTGTTTGCTTTATAATTTTAAAATGGACAATTCTTGTTTAAAATTAAGGCAACTTAGTTCTCTGTTGGCATGTTCACCCCTTATTTATTTGCATGTCTTATTGTTCATTTAAATTGAGTACAGATATTGTACATTCATTATATTCTTTTGATAAATGAAGAAACTGTTGGGACAAGAACACATCTGTTTTCACAAAAAACGTGTTCTGAATAATTTAATGCAATACATTTTTGCTATTTTAAAATAAACTTGCACTTGGAAACATAAAAACTAACTGATTTTTCATGAATTTCCCTGAGATTTTTTGTACACAAGTATGTTTCTGGTCAAGTTTGGTGCTTTAAAAACAAGGTCTACTAGATGTTATGTACTAATTCTTTTTATCAAGGGTGTTCGTGGCTCATGGCCCCACTGTGGTACTCATCAGCTTTCCACTACGAATAACGCAAGAAATGTTTGGTACTGTATATGCCTTCAACTGAACCAGATGAAATGAAATTTGTAAGGTGCGGAGAAGTGCTTTTCATCTTCATGTTAATGATTATAACTTTCTTCGCAAGAAGTATCAAAATATTTGTTTTGAAAGGGAAAAAAAGAAAGCATTTGTAGTTCATCTTGACAATACAACAGCAACAGATCATCTCCTTGGTTTCATCACATCATATGGATAAAGAAAATTCGTCACTTAAATAAGAGGTAAAATGAGAAGAATGGACAAAAAGCATGCAAGACTTTCAGGTTAACACCTAAAACTCAAGTTAGCCTTTGGCGCCTGCTAAAATTTACAAGGATTAATTTAGGTAAAGTAGACAGTCGTATAGGTTCCCTCACATCAAACCGATCAGGTCTATCCTTGACAAGTACAGTACAATACGAATGTCTGAATGATTAAAAATATTTATTGGAGGACCCACACACCCTGATTACCGTATGAACCCTCAGGTATGACTGTTTCTCTGATGACTTTGTCCAAAACTTATCCTCTTATAAGAACAGCACCCAAGCCATTGGTTGAAAATGAAATAAAAAATTGTAAGATCTACAGGCTTTTGTGTTTGTACCCATTTTTTCTTCTTGATTAAGACAGCGGATCATGTGTGTCAGAATTAACTCATTGGCAGGAACATGATGGGATATCCTTAGGTTTTCAATTCTGTAACATGTTCAACCATGAAAAATGACAATTAATGGTGGAAGTTGAGTACAATTTTCACCACACCACTATTACAGTGCCAAACTATAGCAAGTAAAAAATACTTGCTTTTTCCAGGTCTGCAATGCTTGATGCGAATTCACATAAGCTTCACTCAGCATGGAATGGCTGATAATATCTCTATCATGAAAAATTAACTCAACCAGCATCAACAATACCTGGTGCATGCACAACATCATAACTCATTTCGTACACATACGAATGATGGTCCACTTGCTTTGAGAATCAGTAACCAAATAACAAGATTCGACATGAAGAAGTAGCTTTCAGTCACAAAATCAGAGCATCAATGCGATTATCAGTACTTCTCAACATGTTCTTCCAAGAATTCTACTGAATTTTCTCGGAATAAATTCATGCTAAGAAACAATTGTGAGAACTTCCGAAGACGAAGTACGCATTTTGGACATCAGGCTCTTCAAAGAAGTAATTTAATCCATCTCGCCCTGAAGCAAGCATTTTCATAGCCAGGAAAACGTTTTTCCAATTGTTGATGAATTGCAGCTTTCACATACTTTCTCGCCAGTTGAACATTCGGGTTGCCCTTCGCAAACATTCGAACACTTTTCAGTTCTGAATTCTCACACCTGAACATACAGTAGTTTATATTCTTTGGCTTGGGGGATTACCACTTGAGATATTTTCCTGATGCATTTCCGGGCATCGAGACCAACCACGGATTTGCCAAATCTCTAAACTAATGGACCATCTCTTCGTATACCAAATTGCTTCAGAAATAGGGAGATGAATTCGGACGAAAAATTTCGAAAGCATTGTGGTTCTTGAAACCTCCAACGACCACTTCATTTTTTCCGTTCCAGCAGTGCAGATGATTCCATCACCCAACACATGAAATCCATTCTCTTCCTTCCTCTTTTCAATAAGATTCAGCCACATACCGGACGGGACGCGTCCCTCATCGTATTCAACAAAGTCGAGGGCACAAGACGCGTCGCAACCGAAAACCTCGCGAACAATCAAGCTGGAAAACTCGACGTAAAAACTGCACACTTCACTTGATTGCATGGTACTCTCGGCACAGGTTTCTCAATTTCTTTTAACTTAAATACCCAACGCACACGATCACGCATACACACCAAAACATGGAACAAAAAATGTGGGAAAAAATCCGCGCCTCACACAAAGTTACTTTGACGCCGAGGTGCAAACTCAGATATGAACTAAGCACGCAGAACGTCCGCTTTGCATCGGATCACAGAAGAAAAAGGCGATAAGGATTAACAAAAAAAGCACAAAAATTTATACCTTTGATCCGCGCAGCGAACGAACCATTTCCAGAAAATGAACCTCATCTGCACTTCGTGAAAAAACTTCCGAGGATTCCGAATCCATCAACCACGTATCACATTACCCAGATTTACCGCATAGAACGCCGAATCGCGTCGAAAAATATATTAATACTTCGGACGAGAACGGCGGAAAAAAAAGAGGCGAGGGAAGAGGCAGCAATGAACACGCAGAAATGCACGGGATATCATCCGATGATAACGAACGGCAACAACGGTAGCAGCTCGCCTTCGTAGGACTCAACAACCGCGCATTCGTCCCACCGTCTGAACTCTCCGTTAATGTCGTAGTTCCCGTTCACATTCGGAATTTCCACCGAGTGCAGACTGTCTACGGTAACGGTGGGCGGCGCCGACGACGGCGACGGCGGAGACGGTTTCTCGACTGAAGGTGTGGAGAGGGGCGGAAGCTGCTTCATCACCTCAACTTCCTCCACGACCTCTTCCGTTTCATCTTCCGAACTGGACGAGGAGAAAGAGGAGGACGAAGACGACGACATGATTTCATCAGTATTCGAATCCCTCATCTCGGCATTTTTCATCCAGGTGAGAACCTCTGCCCGCTGGGAATCCCGAGAAGTCTCCAGCACGACTTCCGGTGTCCTCGCGCGATCAACAGTATCACATCTGGAAGGAGGGCAACGCACCGGTGCCGCAGTCGCTGCGTACTCATTCTCCGATCGCCACCGAGAATGAATTGAATATGATTCCTGAGAAGGTGGCGAAATCTCGCACCCGTTCCCGTTTTCGCGCCATACTTTCGCTGCAGCCACAAAGTCCTCAACATTTTGCGCGAATGGGACAAGGTTCTTCACTAGTTCTTGGGTAGATTTTATTCCGGAAGTGGATTTAAACTTCGCAAGCTTCTTTGTGAGTAGGTCGTCGGTGTCGTCTCCCACAGCACGACGCTTTCTCCGACGGGGAAGGGATCCACTTGCAGGCGCAGCAATGTCGATCACAGAGAAGTGGCGCGTTTGCATACTCTGAGGTTCACTCCCATTCGGCTCTGAGGTGCCGTTGACTTCCTTCATTGGCGCCGCGCGAGCGATGCCCTTCGCTTTCTTTTGCGCCTCTCTCGCATCTGTCACGCCGCCACGGTTCCTAAACGAGTCCACCTGTAGCAGTAAAAGAAAATGAATCGATACACGAAACCCCAAAAATAGATTATCCATATCACCAAAGAATTCCATATGTATCACACTCATTGAATTTGTCAGACCCAAATCGTCACTCATGCGAATTTGAAATCCATCTTACCGCGGAGGCAAAGACGAGACCCCAACGGAGAACACTGCTTCCAGCGACTCCACCGCTTCGGGGACTCAACGTCGGAGGGAAGTGGCATTCAAACCGACACTGACACCATATTGCTTTGGAGAATTCCAGTCCCCAATAGCGATCAATACAGTCTGGATTCAAAATCAAAGTAAACGACCAGATGGCGTTGGGATATACATTGCCAATATTTTTTCAACAAGCCCTACACTGATTCAAAGGAAATTCTAGTATCAGCATCGTCATGCTCTTCAGGCTTTCTTACCAATTACAAAAGCCGGGGCCGTTCTGTACTGTCTCCAAAATACTGTACATACTATATGGTAAGAATGCAACATTGATCAGGAGAAGCCAATACTGTCAGATCAATAGATCAATTCCTGCGGAAATCCTGCATAACAGACTTCCGAACCGGTCGCGTTGATCAGTTGTTCACATAAAGTCAAGGATTCCTCGATTTTATCTTGGATTACACAATGTACACAAAGCAAAAATATAACGGTTTCTCGATTGATATAACTTATCTTTTTGAATAGTTCCACATATGACGGATAAATATACGAGCTTGCAATAAGTCAGGCGGATGTACACCGCTGGAGAAGATAAAAGGAACATAGAATATTTTTACATAGCGAAGACGTGAAAAAGAGACGATACCAATATGAATAGAGCATCATCAATC